TAGTGGAAACGTTTCCGTTTCTCCTCTGGATCTGACCCGAAGTCCCGGGACCCGATGCCATTCTGAAGATTTATTAGTGAATCCTTCATCTGCAAGACAAGAAATTTCCCCGCTGTGATGCCACCCTAGAGGTGAGAGCACTTAGGGACTTCTTTCCCCATCGGTGCCTCCTTCTTCCGTGTAATGTTATATTAATTTGGTTTTTGGGAGCAGCACGTCAGGGCTGGGGTATGAAAATGGGGACTGGGAAGACAGGAGCCTGTGAGAGACCACCCTCTGAGATAACAGAGAAGGGGCAAGCATCTCTCTCCATAGGACAGAGCCGCTTTCATTTTTGAACTGTCTTCTAAGCAGCCCGGTGTACAGCTGGCTCTTTAGGCAGCAGATACCGAAGCACCCCAGCTTTGCGCTGTTAAGGGCTCACGCAGAGCACATGCCCTTCACCCATGCAAGCTATACATGAATCCAGGGTTGAGGTAAAGAAATTTGCTTTCCAAACTGGGATGTCAGAGACTACATAGAAGATGTGCTAACACAAGGGTTTTGGCCCTGTAGAATTCTCTCCCTGACGTGTGTGGACCCCTACGAGGTGACGGAGAAGCTGCGGTATCTGGCGAATAGCCCTTGGGGCCTGCTGCCCACTGCTACGTCGGGAGACGGTAGTGGATGTGAGGCACCTGATGGACTGCAGTGGAACCAGGTAAGGCTGAAGAAGCGTGTAGCGAATGGCTGGGAGGACACAGTGACCCCCCCCGGTCCCAGTGCTAACTGGCCGTGCGGTCTCACCTGGTCTAGAAGCATCACCGAAGATTTGATGATCTCGCGCCATTTTTGTAGCTCTGTGTCATGATACTTCTGCTGAGATTCTAGTAACTGGGCCCATTCTGTCTGAGACTGGGGTAACCTGTCAGGCAGAATATGAGCAAGAGTGAATCTAGGGAAACTGAAGTCAAGGGGGAGCAAAGTGGAGTGGGGGAGCGTGTAGACTGTATGCATTTCTGTCTACTCTCTTCATCCTAACAGTGCAGGTTTTCTTGAGCAAACGTGCACTTAAACGTGCCTAGTCTTTTCCTAAATTGGATACCAGTGTTACTCTGTCTTAACCGTGGTAACTAATAGCAAAGATGTGCCTTTTGCAGAAGTTGTTGTAGTGTGGGTGGAACCGAAGGCCGTGTGCTCTCACTGCTTGGGAGACGTGTGTACTGAAAGACCACAACGTGATGTTGTGGGACACATAGCCCTATGCAGTTCCCGTGTTTTCGGTTTTTCCTAGACACGCTGTGTCAGTCTTTATTTAACAACAAGGCTTTCTCTTTATTTTGAGTAATAGCAGTACTGGCTTTCTTTTTGAAGGCAGGGAAGCGTAGGTATCAATCCCTTCCCTTCAGGCCCAATTAATCCTCCAGAACAGGGCTGGAGGCTGCTGAGCAGCATAGATGCAAGCACTCGAGGCACTGGTGGGAAGATCACTGGGACTGGCTGCCCTCTGATGGGCCTGGGGCAGGAGGTGGAGCTTGGCTGGGCCAAGGTGAGGGTAAATGTCAGTTGAGCAGAGCGACGCCAGGAGCGGAGTCAAAGGCAGTTAGCGCGGCAGCAGCACCCTGCCCCATTTCTCCTGAGGAGAGGCATGGCGCTCTACTTTTGCATGCCCACAGCTACAACAGCAAAGTCTCCCTACTTTCTAGCATAGCTACAAGTTTTTCCTGCTTTGTCTTCTGCTTACCTCCTTGGGCTCTGCTGGTTTCCAAGAGAGCAGCTAAGAAGTCTTTCCTACTTACTTTTTGGGTTCTAATGGTTTCTAGCAGAGCTAGCAGTCTTTCCTGCTTTGTCTTCTTGCTTTGCTACTTTCTAACATAGCTGACTCTCTCCTCACAGGCTACAGTAGCGATTTCCAAGCCCCTGTGTTAGTTAGTGAGAGCTCAGCTGCAACTCCCTTCTTGGGTAAGTTCCTCCTTTCTCCCTGGCAATGTGATGTAAGAGTCTAACTCATTCCCCTCTTACCTCAGGAGAAAGGGGCAGAGCAGGGTGCCACTGCCAACTGCCGCGCTAACTGCCTTTGACTCCGCTCCTGGCTTCACTCTGCTCGACTGACATTTACCCTCACCTGGGCCCAGCCAAGCTCCACCTCCTGCCCCAGGCCCATCACAGGGCAGCCAGTCCCAGTGATCCTCCCATCGGTGCCTCGAGTGCTTGCATCTGCCCTGCTCAGCTGGCTTCAGGCCTGGAGATAAAACAAGGAAATGTTATAATTAAGCATGACAGTAAAAAGTCAACACGAGTGGGAAAAAATGGACCTGCTCCCCGTGGTCAATAATCCTAGTCTCTAATAAACAACCCTCTACTACTACTAAAGACTGCTTTCCGTGTCCAAGGGCAGAGGCTGCATACTTAGGATTGGAACCCATAGTCTGGGGCACTGCTGACTGCCCCTGCCCACAGAGAACCTCAGTCTCGACAGACCCAGAGACAGGGAAAAATGTCTTTGGATCCTCCAGCTGACTGCTGCTGAGCACAGCCGGGTCCGGTCTGCTTCCCCAGCAATCATTGGCTGCAACACGATGAAGTTACCTGTATGGGGCAGGGGGCAAATGGAGCTACCGCTATAATTCCTGAACGTGCACGTTACAAGAAGCACGCAAACAGCACCTAAGTCCTCCACTTAAACTCTCTAGTGTAGCGGTCCACATCTCTACCAAGAGGGCCAGAGGCAGACAAGGCAGGCAAAATCACTTAATGTGATAATCCATGGGAAAGCATCAGGGCTGTTGTGGGGAAAATATACTAATTCCCTTCCCTAACAAGGAGAAATGAGAAAGCCCATAGATAGCATGTGGGACAAATCAGGCAGAAAAGTCATCACGACAGTAGCACATGGCTGTGGACACTCAAAAGTCAAACGCAACTCAGCAAGGGCATAACTAACTGTGACTGCACAAAAGTACAGCCAGAAAGGGGACACGCAGGGACAAATACACCTTAACGAAGTGGACTCTGGATTTTCTCAACCTCTGAAAATAGAGGAGAGGCTATTTGGGCAGGATACCTAGCATTTCGGTACATAAAGAAAGCATTCGTCTAAAAAATGCCAGAAGGAATTCAAAACACAAAATTGCTAGCTATCGTTAGGAACAAACAACTCCCGGACATCGGGTCACTATTGTAAATGCCAAAAGAGGTGCTCTGGAGCACAGTCTGGAAAATGCAGACTGGCAGGTCCGCCCTCAGCCCTAGAGAGGACAGGGCAGGCTATATAAAAAAGACTGATCCCAACAGTAAAATCAGTCTGGCTGGAGGCTGCCAGTATGCTTTCCGCAAAAGGAAATGCTGCCGTATGGCCAAGATCCCTAATGCAGCTCAGCACACACCATAGTGAAATAAATTGGATGTCCAAAAAGCCTTAGACAAGGTTTCACGCTACCACTTATGAAAGCAGCTCAGTCTATCTGCACTTCACACTTCACTGCTTATCACCTAGGATGGCCAGGGAACACTAAAGTTGTTAAGAAGCGCCCTGTGTGCTCCTAGAGATCCCTCTCTTCCTCCCACACGCTAACAACTTGCTGATATCCAGACCCACGCCTTCCAAAACACACCCCTAACAATGGATTTCTGTGTGTCACAGGCCCAAATTCTCCTCTGAGTACAAAGGGTTCTCTCTAAGATGCTGCTTTTCATACAGAGGGGAGTTTAGCCATCCAAGGAGGGGAGGTGACAACTTTGACCCAAGATTGCAAAACACTTCTTTATGTACAGCATCCTCCATTACATGGGATGCTGGGAAGAAGCAGAAGTTGCCTCAACTCGCTGTCTTCTGCTTCAGCAGTTTCAGATCTGGAAATGCTGATGGCCCCACAGCTTCAGCTAACTACCCGCTTCATCTGTTTTGCACAAAAAGGAAGCAATCTAAAAGCGAGCCTGTGGCTTTGGCGTTCTGGGAAAGCCTCTAACATCCATAGGAAATATGCAAGAAGAGGCAAAGACAAAGCAGGTGTGACAGTACCTTTCCTGTAGCCGCAAGCCCTGCCATGCTGTGAGCGTCTGTGTAGTATACTCCAACATCCAGAGTTTGTAGAACAGCATCATGTTGAGAATGACCAGCAGCACCAGACTGGAAATAAAGAAAACAGTCCATTTACTAGGAGCACATCATAGCCCCCTGCCTGCCACTCACACCTGGGAAAGCGCCCAAGGCTTTAAGGTGCCTGGGGCCCAGGTCCACGCTGCATGTGAGCGGGAGTTTCATCTGAGTAAGGGCCACGTGCTCAGAACCCAAAACTCCACCTCCTGGGAGAAATGTGTGAGCAAGGAGAACAGACAGACAGACAGAAAGACAGGCATTGACAGATGGATCAGACAGAACCGGTTGGACGAGGGGACGTGCTGAATACAGAGGGAAGAAGGGAAACAGCAAGGTAAAGAGGTAAAAAAAGAGTGAGACAGTACCTGAAACAGATCCTAATGGGAGCAGGGAAGAGAAAAGACGGAGTAGATGCAGGTTAGAAACAGACTGACATGGAACAGGAGAAACTGGGCTGAGCAGAGAAGGCTCGTGGACAGTGCAGAAGATATATTGGCGGAGGAGGGAAGAAAGGAACAGTTGGGAGGAGAGGCGGGAAGGACAGACAAGTAACTGTGTGCCTGCAATTAATGGTGAAATTCGCTCAGCAAAAGATGAGCTGTGTGCAGCTCCTGCAGGCAAGCCCAAAGCATTCCCACGCAGGCGCTGTCTGACACATAAATGCATGTTGCAGCCTGTGCCCATCCAGCCTTACCCGCTCCTGCCGCACCGGGCAATGGGAGCACCACCGCAAGCTGCCCTGCAAACCAGTGCTTTGACCAGATTACTGCACGGCTCTGCTCGCCTCACCGCCACTGCCGTTTCCGCTCCTCCTGTCAGCCACGCTCGGGGAGTAGGTTCCCAAAGAACACTCTAGTGCCCCTCTCCGAATAGTGCAGCTATTTTGCTGGAAGAATGGCCCGCTATCACCCAATTCAGTCAGGCGGATGGCAACTGGCCAGAAGAGTGTTCTGAAAACATTACGGAGGGCGCTCTGACCACTCTAAGCTAAGCTAGTAGCCTGTCAGGAGACATTGTCGTAAACCTTTTGCGCCTTCCTACCCAACGTTTTAATTGCGTCTCACCTGCCCGGACGCACAAGATAGCACGAGGCTATCTTCTCACCCTTACGTTGCCTTCTTTACCATTACAGCAACTAGCTATGTCGCTGCTGCAAACCTCTGCAGTCTTTATCCCTACTGGGAAAAGGAAATGCAGAAAGGAGCTCAATTTGAAAAATAACCTCAGCCTACGAATCTCGGCTTCTTCCCACCTCACTAAAGGTGGGAAGAGCTTAAGAAAAGAATGAGCCCAAGTTCTGCTGTTCCTCCGGGATTAACAGTATGCTTCCGTTTCCCTAAGCGATGAAAAGCACCGCCACCATATCTGGATTGCTCCTTTACACTGTACTGCTTCACAGCACTTGCCCAGCAGCCGCTGCAGCACAAACACATGAAAGCTACTGTCAGCCCAAGAGGCAGAGAAGCAGTAAATTCACCTGGATTTAGGCATAAAGACCGAGCCACAGGGATACTGAGGGGCCCATACCCAACTCGCTTTGAGCACGCATCCAGCCACGTCCAGTGTGAAAGTTGGTGGCAGAAAAAAGGGACCCAAACCAAATATAGTTATTGCTGCTGAACTAGTGAAATCATGCCAATCTCTCTTGCTTCATGTGTTTCTACCTTACTTTGCAGAAATCATCCCTAAACGGTCCAGCTTCTTTCTGAGATGGTATCTCTCATCAAAATCGCTGCCCAGGACCGGACCCGAATAGGTTTTGCCAGACCAGAGGAAAGAAGTAACAGCGAGACTCCGAGATAGATGCACTGAGCCCTGTTTATGATAGCACACTAACTCCCAGAGAGAAAGCTTTGCATGGTCATCTTTCATGATAACAGCTAGTTTGTTATTAGATAGATTTGTTGATTATTATTTGTTGATTATTGATAATACCACTCACACATTAAATGACTTATTTTCAATTAACCCCCACCCCCTAGATGTCACTGAGAATCTCTGAACTCAATCTCTGAAATAAAAAGGACTCTTTCTACTTGTTGGATTTCTTCTCTTTTAAGTATTGACTCCCCTCTCCCTGCACGGCTACCCCTTGGCCTGCTTGCCACTATCTGTGTTGTCTGTGTCCCAGACAGTAAAGCTGACCTGCATTTAGGGCTCCCAGAAACACGCAGGTCTGCGAAGCCCACGTTTGGTTAAAACAAGGCCAAAACTGATGGGAAAGGTGAGACACTGATAAAATAAGATCCAGAACCCACAGAGCCAGATCAGTGGCCAGCTAAGTACTGGCAAAAGCTGGGATCAAGCCAGACAAAAATGCTGATCAGGCATTTGTGGGAAATCTTAATTCCTTCTTTTCTGCCCGTCATTGCTTTTCTCTCCTCTGTGCTGCGCGAAGTTTGGGACCCAGAGAGGAAAACCTGGCACAGGGGAGCACAGAACGCCAGAAGCACAAAGGCACCAAAGTTGTTAAAGGCTGACGGTGAAGGAAAGCAAACAAACAAACAAACAAACAACAAAAAACCACTCACACAAAACTGATGACAAGGAGCAGCTTGGAGACACTCTGCAGGTGGAAGCCACTGGGGCTCTCCTCAGGGATGTGCCGTGTCTGAGTGGAACCTGAGGAGATAGATGCGTTTAGGCTAGGAAATGCTGTCCGGTGGGGACGGCAACCCTTTTCCCTCTACCCACCCCTCCATCTCACTCAATCATCATGCATCGTCCCTGCCCTGGAAAGCCCTGGCCCCTCTTCCCTCCACGACCCAAGCTCCATTTTTTAATCCAGAAGTACCCAGCTCTCCATCCCCAGCTCCTTACCTGCCACATGCTTGATTCGATGTGCAACATCCTCATCCGTGGGGGTGGTGACGGGACTCAGCACCTCCTCCAAGTGTGGCACCCGCAGATGGGCATGGGCCCGTTTCCTCCGGCGCACAGTCGATTGCTTGCTCACTTTCTCTTTGGGGGATTGTCTGTGGACCTCAGCCAGGTACGTGCTCTCGGTTTTGGTCAGTTCGCTCTCTGCAGAGACAGCAAGGGAAAGCATTTAATAAAGATACACACTTAAGCCCTCTAGTGGCACAGCTGCTGAGCCAAGCCAGCTAGCAGGGCCTAAGAGGCCCGTGCCAGAGGACGCATCCCTTACACCTTTTGCCAAACTCTGACCCCAGACTGTCTGCGCTCCTGCCAGAGAGCAGGATTTGATGACCTGATTAATTCCACCAAGCGCTATCAAGGCTGTGGTAATGGCTCTGGCCACCCCCTTTCATAAGCCACTCCGAGGTCCGATTCCCAGTAGGCTGGCAGCAGGTCATGCTGCCTGCTCACAGGGAGGCTTGCGCAAACTATGGAAGGTGCCACTGTTTGTGCGTCATTACCGCAGCCCCAGTCATTGCCACCCTTACCCAAATGACGGAAATAATCTTCTAGGCCGCTCCAAAAATTCTTCTCAATAAAGGATTTTACAAGCCCCCAAGGCTGTTTCCGGTAACGTAACTCCGTGGAAACCCTATGTGAAGAAAGGAGGGTCATTCTGCTTCCTGGAGGCAGTGTCAATTCACAGTCTTTTGTCAATGTAAATATGAGAAGAAATAATCATGCACACAGTTATTTCTGGAATGGTCTCAGCCCTTCATGCTTCTCGAGGAGAAGCGTGGCATGGAAAGTCCTTCCAAAGGCAGTGGCAGGAAGGCCTCAAGAGAGCCTCCCCGCCAAGAGGACTCCCGAAACCTTTGGCCATGAGGCATGCAGACATTCAGATTACTTATTGAGGTCAAACACAAAAGCCTATAGCTTTGCCTGGTACCAAATTCCTCTGCTTGTCCCCCCAAGCATGTCTCAGAAGCACAGTCCCTGGAGGTTATGTCCTGTTGCTTTTCATGTGTGTGTGAACAACGGGCCCCACAAACCACTGCTTCCAAGAAGGGGGCAAGAAAAGCCTGTAAATCCTCTCCCCGACCCAGCTGTAACTCCTCTGCATTTGCTCAATGTCACCACAGTAGGCAGCTGACCCTAGGGTAACTCTTCGTGATGGGTGTGTTCTGGCAACAGGACAAAGAAAGAAGGCTTAGTTCTCCCCAGCCCCTTCTAACGCACCGAACAGCAGAACTCCCACCCAAAGGTGACTTTAGTAAAGCTCTTTATCCCACAAGAAGTGTACCTGAGTCGGCTTTTGTTTCTGGCAACACGAGTCAACGTGTAGCGGTTAATGGTGTAGAAATAATCATGGTAGGGGACGTCGTGAGTTAGCACCTCTGCATCTATGACATAGCACTCGCTTTCTTGGCTGGCTTTGTACATTGTCTGCATAAAAGACAGCATGCAAGGCAACTATTAGTCTGGTTAGAACATGGCTTTGATAGATTGGCACCTTCACTAGCACTCTATAAAAACAGCTCTACCACAAACAGGAGACCACACCCATGACCCAAGCCCCATCTCTGCAATGTTTTTGAGAACAGTGCACCTTTAAGGGAAGGCATCTGATCTAAAATCAGAGGTGGCCCTGCTTTGAGCAGAAGTCCTTTCTAGCATAGATTATTCTGTAATTCCAAACACCATAAAAACATGTCAATTACTTTTTTTAAGTGCTTCTGATCCGCTTCCTTCTTTGCCCCAGAACAAACCTCACAAAGGGGACAAGACAGAGTTAACTGCAGATCCGCATGCAAAAGTATGGCTTTTCTTACAGACTAGTTCCACTTACCCCTGCAGCGAGGACACAGCAAAGTGTGTCTCGGTGATTGACCCCAAACTCGGAACAAAACAGGCCACGTCCTTGCTCGCCTGAAAGTGTACTGTTCCCTTTGCCCAACACTTTTGCTCTCCCCTTTTCTTTCTCTTATCTTCCCTGCACACAGTCTATGCTTCTGAACAGCACGCTTCACCCCCCCCTTACAAGGTACACCTTGCCACCGGGATTCTCCTCTCCCTGAAATGTAACGCTCAGACACCCGATCTTTTCTCGGCTCCCTCTTAGTACTTCCTCAAGCTAACTCTCAGCATTTACCTTTGGCCACTTGAACATATCTCGGGACACGGAAGAAGGCTCTTCCTCCCTCTCTAGCTGCAGCCCCTACTAGATACAGCTAGCCTGGCTCCTCCCAGTGCATCGCACATGCTCCCCTTTTTTGCCTTTTTCAACAGGTCATCTAATTGTCCTCAGCAGTAATAAAAAAGCCTGGACATCTCTATGGAGAGCTGTGAAAAGGACTGCCCAGACAGCATCTGACTTTCTTGTGCCCTGCTCATAAGTAGCATCCACTGGGCTGACCACAGCTCAAAAAACACCAGTAGGGGCGACAAACCCAGTTGTTACCATGTGCTGGTTTGTTTACAAACTCATCTGCTTTTGCTGGAAAATTTATAGTCCTTTCCTTGCAGTACAATCCAACGCGAGTCTAAGATAGCTATTCACGTTTGCAGCGATACCAGGTAGCAAGTTAATACAAGAAAAATGTGTAAAGGAAGATGCACAGGGAGAACAAAAACGTGCAAAGCAGCAGGCCCAAGACAAGAAAATAAATCACAGATCTGTGTTGACAAAGCGTTACACCCCCACTCCCCTTTCACATACCTGCGTCTCAGTGACAGTGGCAGTTTTGGGGGCCAGAGGGTTGGTGAGGGTAATGGTGTACAAGATCACTCTGGTCTGATTGCCATTTTCTTCCTTCTTCCAGGGATGAAAGATAATATCTGAAAGGACAAAACAATATCCCGTTAAGTAATTAGAGAGGCACTTCAGGTCAGTTCCCTAGGGAAAGGCATAACCACATAACCAAGCTCAGGACAGTATTTCTTTCCCCTTGGAGAGCTTGGCTGCAGAAGCACTAGAGCTCAACTGAGTATGAAGGACAGGTCTCCTGTCCTAAATGTGAGCATTTTCTGCTCTTTCAAGCGCAGGGAAAGGGGGAGAGGCTGGGGGCATATCTCCTTCAGCAAACCTACAGTTACAAGGAAAGGAGGACTACAACATGCCAAGGGACACTCTCTTTTGCATCGTCAACCTGCACAGTCCGCACCAGGGTCTGGTGTCGAGCTAGAAGAGCTCCTTCCTCACCCTGTTAAGCCTTGAATACAGGATCAGGCCATAGCTGATGTTATAAAATAAAAGAGCCTGCTTCTTCCATAAACTTAGATCTGGCTCTTAGAAAATAAAACTAGATAGCCAAACAAGGCTGGTTCTACCTGGTTTTGATTACTGTCAGTACAGACTACAGCTGTCCCACGATCTGCTCAGAATATTACCCAATCCCTCTATCATCAGGCAAAGCTACACCTCCAAGGCACGTGCCGAGACCTTCCTTCTGCACAGGCCTCAGTACCTCGCAGGGAACGCAGCCTCAGTCAGTGACCGGGATTTCCCACCAGCAGCTTACCAGAGAAACGGCGCTGTTCCATGAAGTCCCTCTGGAACTGGGAGTCCGTGAAAAGCAAGTCGTACAGTTTGTCCACGCTGAAGTTGAACACTTCATTCACATACTGACGGCCGTTCAGATCCTCGTAAAAGGCTTGAACTTCCCCTGTGGAGAAAAAGGCCCTCAAGCCCCAGCCATAATCCTCTGCCCAATATCAGAGGCTGCGCTTTCATAGTACCAGGACCTTAGCATTTTATTTCGTGGAGAGGGAACACAAAGGAGGTACTTCTAACCCTTTTCCTCCACTGATCCCAGGACAATAGCTAGACCATGGGGTAATTAACTACACTGTTTTAGGGACACCCTTCCAAATACCCCAGTCATTCACCTCCTGCGGCCCAAGGTGGGAATTCTTTGCATCTTCGGAACTCTTAGGGTCCAGAAAGGAATTCAGTATTTGCCACTCCAGTCCCTCACTGGGAAGGACGGGAGAAGGCTGAAAACAGCACCGATGGAACAGCCCTTCCCCGCATACCTTCATCATGGGTCTCTGACGAGTCACTGAGCTCAGTGGGAATGTCTTCGTTGTCGTTGAAGTCTAGGGAAGGGGAGTTCACGGGGCCAATGATCTCTATTTTCTCTCCCATGATATTTGCAATGCCAAGGTCTTTTTCCACAGGACTCTCCACCACGGCCTCCTCCTCTTCTGGTAGCACCCCATCAAACTGCAGCAAGGAGAGAGCATAACGAGGGCAATATCAGCACCTGGAAATTAGAGGTTATTTCTAAAAACTTTACATCTGTGGGCCAATTTTCATACCTTTGAACTTTTGGCCTCGACATGTCTGGAAATCAAATAATACAGAGAGGAGGAAGGTTACCATACGGTGTTTGTAAACACATGGACATATTAGATCACCTCCTCTCAAAGAACCACATACATTTCAAGGTTGGGACATACGCAAGGCTTTTAGTTTGTTCAGACAAGCACACAAACAATACCGGTTTTCCTCCCGAACAAGCCCCATACAGCTAGGAAAATCTGAGGCTATACCTAACCAACATCAAACAAGGGTATTACTCTGACATACTGCTATTCCTAGGGAATAACTGAAGGCAAAGAAGAAATAACAACCCTTTTCTCTCCAACACTCCATTTCTTTTCATCTACAAGTATTGAAAGGAAAATGCACTTGCTGCTCTGAGTCCCAGTTTACTGGCTTTTTAGGACAGGCACACTTTGCTCACTTTTGCTTGGCCAAATGCCATGCTCATAGATACCACTGACACGAGCACTAAGGTCAGCTGCAGTGGAAGAGGAGCTGCAGCGTAAACAGTTACCTCGTACATTCAAGGACTACCAGCTGGATCCCAGAGAAAAGGATTACTGCTCCCATTGCAACGCAGACAGAACACTCACCGAGGCTGGCGCTTCGCTGCTTCCCGTAGATGTCAATGTGCTGGCAGTGACAGATTTCTTTGGCAGTTGAGGGCTAGCTTCTGGCTTGGCCTCCATGCTGCTTTTTGAGGAGCTGTCATTGACTTCATTCTCTTCCACGGGGATTTCTTCACAGTAGCTGAGACGCCACAGAGAACACAGGTTTTTATGTTTACCCCTTTCAGTACAGCTACAACTGGACACACAGAGCAAGTAAGAATACTTCTATGAAGTTTCCAGTCTGACCAGAAGCAGAAATGGCTCAGTGTGGGGAAGAGCAGCCCAAACTTTTCAAGTACTTATACACAGACTGACAAGCATCAGCACTTTCTAACCACGTAGCACACTGACAGGCCTCGTGACTGGGATGCTTTGGCTTTTACAGAATTGCTCATCTAGCTCAGCAAGTAGAGAGGCAGGCATTTCAGCCCCTACTGACTTCCATGAGGAAAATGGTACGCTTTCAGCTTTTTAGACATTACACATCTCAGGGCAAACATTTGGCCAGAACCCAGAATCTCTCACCAAGCACAATCAGCAATTTGACATATGCAATATACCAGGACTCCTGCTCTCCTGAGGCCATCTTTTCTTCATCACAGGCAGATTTTACTCCTCCTCACTCACCCCATTGTGTTGAAGTCATCATCAGGAGGTACGTAGTCTTCATCATCACTGGTCAGGCCCAGCTCGTTCCCGTAACACTGGTGGACAAAGTGCCAGAGCTCCTTTGGACAGAGAGGCTAAAAGAGGGAACAGAGAACAGCATACATTTTCACCTGAGAATACTAACATATAATGAATTTTTGGAACTACAATTGTCAGGAGTATTACATTCCTTGCCCTGAAAGGAGAAGTGAGAGATTCTGACACAGCCCCTGATGGGAGGTGAGAGCCTTCCGATGGGCTCGCTTCTTCTGAATTCCAGTGATGCTACAAGGTGGATTGCGTGTTACTGGCAGGCTGGCTCAGCTCCATGCTGGCTAAGGGCTGCGGGCCCTTAGCGTATGTATCCTTATTTTGTTAGGCCAAGCTGGCTTAGAGATTGCCCCCGTAAAGCAATAAGAGGCCCTTTCGCCAAGTAAGCCTTCACCGTCAGCCCAGGTTCTGCCCTAAAATCTGACTTTGTTATTTTTCCATGCCACAATCTCATGTTCCGTAAGACTATCAGAAAGCCAACAGAAGGCTACACCGAGAGCAGCACACGAAATGAGATTTCCCACTACTACACTGCTGTGCATGTAAAAACATAAGCAGTAAACCTGCATATCCCTCCACACGCGTTTTCCCCACCTCTTCTGCTGTGCCTCCACTTAATGTCTCCTACTATATCAAACCCCAGCGCCTTACGAGGTTTTTCCCCCTCCAAGTTTGCTTAGATTAACGCTGCCTAAAGAATTACAGCTGCAGGGAAAACGATCTAAACCAGTGACAAAGAAAAACATTTCCTCTTGAAGTTTAAAATCAAAAAGAGTTTGTCTCACCAGATACTATTGTGAAGAGCTTGTACATCCTTCCAGTTAAAAAGAGAAAACGAATTATCAAGACTGTTCACAAAAGCCTAGCTTTTCAGGGATGCAGGTCAGTTGATCACCATAGGACTGTGTTCTGAGGTTCTTAAGAAATGGGGCAGGAAAACATGTGATTTAAATATGTGGTACAGGGATGAAAGGGGATGGATTTTTACACATGATAGATTTATGACCAATGACAAAGATTTCTGGGTAATGAGAGAAAAACAAATCTAGCAAACTTCTTCAAAGTTGCTGGCTTGAACTTCTTCCCATAGTTACCACATGGGATAAGGCAGAAAATTCTTAATCTAGCTCCCGAAAGTAGCAATCAAAAGCAGTGGGAAAAAACTTCCAGTGAGAAACTTTTATCCAGAAAAATGTCTTAACTCTGTTTCACCTTCTTCCCACATGCATTCTAATTCACATGTCTTACCCCGAAAAATGGACTAGGTTCTTTCTCCCTCTCTCCTGCCACGCATGGATCCTACATTTGGAAAAAGAGCTCTGGAAGGGCTTCCTGTCTTTATCACTCCATGTCTCAGTTCCCGTTTGCTTCGACCTTGAAACCAAGGGCACTGAATTTTGTTGGGAACTTCAAAAGGCTGATCAAATTACAGCATATGGTAGCAACACAAACTGCCCAATGCAAAGCGATCCTTTTGCATACTAAATACTGCCCTGATATTCTGGGTGCTTGATTACTTAAGCCTTCCAGTATGGTATGAAGTCAAGCCAGAAGATCGCAAAATACTGGTAACACCGTAACATCAGTTCATAAGTCTGACTCCCGGACCGAGGCCAGAAATGCTCAGCGGATTATGGAACAGATACTCAGATCAAATATAGGATATGTGGGGCCTCTGGCATTGCAGGTGCACATCCCTGCTTTGTTTGAAAATTCAACCCATGAGCACTCCACAGTGTATGTGCCCTGAACACATACTCTTTTTCTGTCCTATCTTGAACTCTACGCTTCTGAAGCACAGACTTACTAAGAGCTTTTGCCTGTGCAGTGAGCTATTTCCGGTGCATTTGGAACTGCTTTCGTCTGGGCTGTTTCACTTGAATTTCGGACTTCAAAAAAACTCCTTCCTGAGACACATGCTTCCACACCTCAGCGGCATCTGCTGTGTGTGCAAGACACGTCTGTACAGAGACAGAATTCCATGCAAAAAGACAGAATTGCACCTGCAGTTATGTACCGGCTCTGCCTAAACAGATCTGTTTACCATTCCTATCCCTTTTTACGCATATACATTAGTCACAGGTGTTATGCTTCTGCACATATGCATCACCCACCCCAACACTGAGATGCTGGTCTCTGTACCTTGTCAAGGAGAGCATTCTGCCAGAGTCTGAACATCATCATGTACGTCCTGTCTCGAGCCCCAAAGGAAGTAAAAAAGTGCTGAATGGGAAAAGATGGAGAGAAAAATCAGTTCAGAAAAGGCCCAAAAAAGTGGAAGAAGAAGAGACAAGCCTGTTTGAATCACTTTCCAGCTACAGTTCACAGGAGGCCTGAGCAAGCCATACAGCACAGCTGCTCAGTTCTTGGGCACAGACTGAAGCTCACAGAGGCCTCACAGAGAGGCTGAGTGCCTCTCGCACAAGGGAGCAAGTCTGAGCACAGAAAACAGTTCTGTTGGAGATGTGCTACTATATAACCCGGATCTTCTACCTGGCCCCACACACCACACGAGCCACCTATGTTCCAGACTCAGCCCAAGGTCTGCAGAAGCTCTGCACCCAGCCCTTTGCCCTTGGTGCTTCCTCCCAGGCCCCAGGTAGCACAAGCGGTCCATTTGGAAAAATCCCACACCACCTATTCCCTTGCCCCGACAGCCATAAGGGGTGGCCCCAGAGGTGGAGGCTTCAAGGATGTACCTTTTCAGTGTCAGTGCAAACTTGGATGGCATTAGGAATGAGCCGTGCTGTTTTTTCCTTGGTCATCGAGCAGATATCCTTCAAGCGAACTGTCAGCTACAGTCAGAGCCATGCAGAAAGGGGAAGGCAGAAAAAGAACATGGGTAAAGAGCGACACTGATGAGAAAGACAACGGAAGGAGTGCTTTTCAAGCAATGTCAGCAAATATGCTGACATAACACACACGCTCAGTGTGGCAGTTTGACAGCCTTACCAGTGTCTCCCAACGGAAAATGTTGCTGTAAAAGCAGATCCAGTTTTCAGAGAGGTAGAGGCGGCCCTGCAGGAGAATGTCTCTTTGTAGCGCACATGAGTAATCTGTGGGCGGACAACAGATGACAATTTAGCAGCACCAAAACCAGAAGACAGGACAGCCTAAAGGTGAGGATAAGCAGCAGCATCAAGAGAAGCAACTACTCGACACAATCCTGCCGAAAGTCAAAGGCAGAGCCAGAAGGAACCGAGCCACAACTGCTGCTCTGTCCACTAGGCTATGTTTCCTCCTAAGGGCATGTCACAGACAATCTCTCTTACTGACTGATGACCTTGACTTATTAGCTGGTCATTCCGTAGCATCCTATTTACTATTTCCAGATTGTAATCTGTCTTTTCCTTTTTGCCTTCTAGTGCCACTGTTCATTTCTCTCCCAGTTTAAGCATCCTAAACAATTTCTATTCCTCCGCTAGGATGCGCACCTTTCAACAGTATGAGACATGGTATGAGATCACCAGTTACATAAGATAAAAGAACAGATGCAATGCACTAGGCAGTCACTAATCAGTTGCAAGGCCAAATCCTAAATGGATATGGGAAGGGCAGTCGTGTGAGTAGGGAGCATTGGGGATGTTATTAAAAAGGGAAGCTCAGTGGTATGCATGTTGAGACATGCAACCCTGACCAAATGAGGAAAGAGCTCGAACACTAACACACTGTCAGGTTTGGGGGAGCACTGTGGAGGAAAACATGCTCCTCAAATGATGAGGGAACAGAGCCATAGCCGATACAAATCAGCATTGTTCTCCCTAAAGCAAAAACGAAAAATCCCTAAGACCGTTAGAAATGGTGAGGAGGGGTTCCGCCCGTGCCCAAGAAAGACACAATGGGCTTGTTTCTTAGTGGCAACCTCTTTGAAGAGGAAAAAGCTGCATGCATGTGTGCTGGATTTCCTCCCCAAATCATGGGCCAGCACAACAGAACACAGCACCAAGGGGCTGACCTTACCTACGATGAGGCGCTCCGTGTCAGGAAGCTGTTTGAAGAGTTTCCTGAAATCTTCATTCCGTTGTTTGTATGTTGGACTCAACACCTGCAAATAACAGAGTGCCTGTTAAAGAGAGGGGCAGGCATGAGTACAGAGAAATGGGAGTGGGAAAACAGGAACACCTTGGTAAGGAGAAGGGGGATCAGATGCACTTACAAAGCATGAGGCTAGGAGCTCCCATCACAGCAGACACACAGACAGGAGGATTTGGGGTTTAGTGCATTAAGTGAGAAGAAGAGGAGAAGCTGACTTGGAAGAGCAAGTACAGAATATAAGGGCTATACCCATATCTACTAGGTGGCAAAACAGAATTGCACGGAAGCTGTGGCTGAAGGAGAAATCTCTTTCCCTGGTCCCTGCAATCCGTAGACTGTACAAGGCATGACACGTGCTCTGTTTGCAATGCATCAGTCGGTCGCCAGTCCCCAGCTCTCTCTGGAACAGCACAGCAACCCTAGAAAATAGGCACTCTAGCAGAGGGGCAGCCCTGCCAGAGGAACTTGCATGATCACTGTCATCAAGAGCTCGGGAAGAACGCAGTCATCCCCATCTCCGCTCCACCTGGCAGTCAATGAACACACAACTACCCGCTGGTACAGTGAGAACACTCTTGTGGGGCTCAGAAGAGGCTCTCGCAGGGACTCAACCATGTTTTGTGCTTATTCTGCAGACACTTGGCCTCATGGAAGGCCTTGGAGAAAATGGTGCTGATGGCTGCAGGGAGACCGGGAGCTGGCTCCTCTCTGGTATTTACTAAACTATAAAGTGACGCGGTCCACATTAGACCACCTCCTACACACCATGCCCATGCTGCTCGTAATAGCCACAATGGCTTCTGAAAGAGTTGCCCAAAACAGAGGCAGATGCAAATTCAGGAGGCTCGTATCTCCCATCTAATCTGGTCATGTTCTTTCTCCCATAAATGTAGGGAAGGCTAAGCAACCTTTTCCACAGGGTACAACCTCTTCCCTCCCTATCCCCATTTCCTCTCAACAACCCTCTCCTGTCTCTTCCAGCTGCGCAATACAAATCTCCCCAAAGGCGGGCACACCTCAAAGCCTCCCAGCAAGGGCCGCAAAAATCAAAGTGATTATGGAAGGTAGCTTCTTGTTTGCAAATGGTGTTGGTGAGGTTGCAGGAGGAATACGAAGGTTATTCAGCATTAGCCTTACAAAATTGTCAAATGCTGTCAAATCAGAGAAGGAAACACAGAAACGCCCCCAAAAGCACTCCCACTCCCTCATACCAATTCAACGAACTAGAACCAGTATTTTTTAACATCAGCTCAGCCCTTCAGATACTTGCTCCAGTCCTGCGGGTCCAAAGGGAAGTACCTTACTTTTGAGTAAAATCTGCTAACCAGCAGATGACAGAAATATGAATTTTACTTACCAAGCTTCTAGCCTGAACACCTGCAAAAAATTTTGGCCAGAGATGGGCTCCAGCAAGAGCCCAAGATCAAGATTTCCTGGGACAAGCAGACAGGATGAGAAAGGAGGGGGAATAGAGATTATAATCAGCTCTGAGCTTTGGGTTCAATGCATTACAGCAACCCAACTTAGCAGTACAGTCTCCATGTGGAGGGGCGCTCCCCTCCCTTCCCGCAGTAAGGGATGTTCTGACCTGTCTAAAACCTGCACTACAACAGACGCTTCTTGCTTAGCACCAGAACTTCTGTTAGAGTGACAAACAGTTCAGTTTAGAGACACTCACAGCTGGAATTTCATCTGATCCACGGCTGACATTTTCTTGCGATAAGTCGACATGCCCCTCCAGGTCCCACAGCAGACATGGCAGTTCTTGATCCAGCACAAGATCCCAGAGAGCCCCACACTCCAACAAGGAATCCATAGCATTCCCCCAGCAGTTACACAGCTCCCCGTGTTCTCAGTCAAACTCTGCTTTTCCTGTTCCTGCTGTCACTGCTTCTTGTTTAGATTCAAAGTCAAAAGAGATACAGCAGCTTGGCAGGAGTTTACGTGCCTTCCCCTACTTTCCCGCTCACACTCAGGTCGTCTGCCCTAGCGGCCTCGGTAGATCTGAGAGGAGACTTGCCCTCCAAAGGACGAGGAAAAAGTGGCTCATTAGGGTAAGCGTGCTGGCGGGCAACCTTTGTGTTCTTCTGCTCCAGTCTCACCAGCTTCTTGCTGCGGGAATCCCTTAAAGAAGCACTGCAAAAGTGCCAACAGCCTGCGCAGTCCCAGGTACGTCTGCGCAAGGCATGTGCACCTCCCGACGCCCAGGGCTGCCAGAGCTAACAACTGAAATAGCTCTGACTGCCAGGACCCCACCGACCAGCTGTAATTCACAGATCTAGCTGCAGCTTCCAGGATTGAGCAGGATGGTAAACAGCTCAGAGATTTCAGCTGCTCCCCTCGCTTTGAAACCAGAAAAGCAGTCGTTCTTATTCCTTCAGTGCCTGCCTCAGGCTCTCCTCTCCAGTCCCTCTCTGCTCTGAAAGGCAGCTTCAGTCTTTGTTAATGTTTCTCATGGAAGGAGCGGGCGGGGAAGATACCAAAATGACTCGCACATGCTTTAAGTTACTATAGCTGGGTAATTCTGTCGGCCAATGGCCTGCAGTAACCCAAGCTCAGCCCAGCCTCCCAGCAGATGTTTCCTGTAATGGAAAGTTGCTGGACAGAGTGTGTTGGGGGAGGCGCGAGGGGAGTAAGGAGGGCCCAGTCTAAAGAATATAGCTATGAGAAATCAGCCATGTGAGATCCACACAGTTAGAAATCTTAAGACCTCTGCTAATCCTACATGTATCTCTGAGCCCCCTCCAAAAAGCATGTCTTTCTAGGTTTCATTCATTAGTCAGGCCACTTTGGAAATGAAGGGCAAGGCCTTCCTTCAGGCTCCAGCAAATGCACTCCCTGCAGGTCCCAGGAAGATTGCTTGGAGCGCTGGAACTCCTAGTATCCCTCTGCCCTTAGACTCCTGCCTCTCCTCCATCTCTCTGCTCAAGCATAGAAACGCACAGGTACACATCCACACCACACCACTAGTGCTGCTCTGCCATGATGCTAAGCCTGTGGAAAAAAGTATACTGAACCAAAATCCTCATTCTTCCTAAAAACTGGGCACACGTATCTCAAAAAAACAAAACAAAACAACTCAGCCAAGCAACCAGCCAAGCCTCTGCACAGCCACTGTTTTATTCCAGGGCCAGTGACTGCAGTTTGCAGGAAGAACTGGCAAGTCCTCTGTCCGCTCAGATGCACCACAAAAGCAGTGCTGGTACTAGACAGCACACAGGTCTCACCGTTTAGCCCTGTTAGAAGGAAGTAGTACACCCATCTGCCACCCCAAGATATTAGTACAATAAACAAAATTTCTGTAGCCTGGGAAGGCCAAAGAATGAGGATTACGGACATCTACAAGGTACCCGCATTGCTTTACTGAATAGCCCTCTTTGCTGGAAACTGCTTATGGGATTACTTCCAAAAAATAAACCCACCAGGACGCTTCTGTCTACACACCCACCCACAGCCCTTTGCAGAGATGAATGGCACAAGTGATCAGAAGAGCTAACCTGGAGGTGAAGAGAGCAAACATTAACTCTACTGCAAACAGAGAGAGACGGGACAGGACGGCACCTGCAAAGGGTGGAGAGAAGAGGCGCGGGCGGGGAAACGGGGAGTGAAGGGTGACTTCTCCACAGTAGGATCTCCGCGTTAATACACAAACAAATCCCCTGACAGAAAATTTAAAGCAACTGTTGCTGGGGGATGGGACAGGACAGGGAAGTCTGACAACACAAGAACTGAGAAAGGTACGGTCTTGTACAGCACGGGGCACAGAAAACAGGTGAGGATGAGAGATGGCAGGAGACAGAGAAAAGAGGGAAGGAAAATTTTATCTGATTTGCATGAGTAATGGACTTGCTCTTAACTCATTAACTCTCTTACATTGCTTCTGGACAGAACAGGAAAACTACTGGAAAAGAACAGAATACATTCCCTGCTTGTGTGGGAGAGTTTAGACCCCACTGACAGCAGGACTGCTATGCTGATTAATGCCAGCACAGAAACTGGCCACCTGTCCCACAGCATTTCTTCCAAACCTGGTCTGGTCTCGCGGGTTTTTTTCCTCTCTATTTTTTCTTCCTTTTAGAAGTGAATGAACAGCAAAGGAAGAAGCTTCAAAGTAATCACTGGCCACTTGGGGTGGAAAGTGGATTTGAGTTCATCATCACATGAGCTTGCACCAAAAGCTCACTTCTAATTTAGTGCCTCTGCATCACATTAACCGTGCCAGCCCAGTAATCCATACACCTAAGATCATGGAAAATCTGAAGGGATGAAAAATACCTGAAAGACAGTAAGTTAACATTGCTCCAGAAATAAGTTTGACAAAATGGGTACTGGAACTTAAAAGATGATTGCACTGATTTACGGAGAAAAAGGCTGTTTGTTCAACACCTTGCTACCTCATCATTGGGCCTGGATTTTTTTGCAATAGACCCCCATTTACATGATTGCTGTTGTTGCGTCAGACTCAGACTGCCAGCCATTGGAAAGCTGTTTCTGACGTTTTCCCTAAAATGATGCATAATTTCTCCCTCTTTGTCTTTATAGGGAACATTTTACTCTCTCCATCATCTGAGTTTCCCTCTCCGCTCTGGTACCTACAAGGTGTCCAAGAGGGTACTGCAAGAAAAAAAAAAACAGCATGCCAAGACCAGCAAAGGCTGATTTCTTATGGTGTTCAGTCTTGTGATCGCTTGATGTTGTTCTTAAGAAGCTGCAAGTGCTGCTCAAAGGTCTCCACAAAGACAGACCCTTCGGAGCATCACAGTCCACCACGGATTCCCAGCCGACTCCTAACTCCTAGTGCACAGGCTTTTGCCACAGCGTTCCCTCAAAGGAAAACCTAGGACTCTCTCCTTTACATGGCTACCTCCTTGCATTTGACTGGATTTATTTTCGAGACTGTCACCTCTTACAACCCAAGCTGAAAGTTGCCTTGTGTGCACAGCATTTCTTTGCAGAACTGCAGGTGCAGGGCTCCCGTCCCACTCTGTACAATCCTCAGTGCAGACTTTGCTCTCCCAAAGACAAGTGGGTAGAAGTGTGCTCTTGTTGATTTTTTTTCAGACTTATTAGGACAGCAAATGTTCCCAGTAGTATTAAAGAACACCTGAAAGAGACAACTAGTGTCTTTTCACTGTAAAATTTTTCTCCCCACTAACCACTCTGGGGCTATCCTGCACATAGGTGGGGAGGGGGTGGTTCAGGTTGGTTATATGGAGAAGCTGTAAGAAGAAAAACATTCAAGCATGGTTCCGAAAGAGAAGACAAGTGAAAGGAATGTGCATAGATAAACCCAAAGGAAAGGAGTAGAGAGTAGGGCAGACCTTGGGATCTAAAGAATAAAATGAAAACCTCCGGGACAGAGATAAATTTCACTTCTTCCCTGGCATCAGCTGTTTGCCCTAACTTTTCAAGACCATCTTGTTCTTTTTTCTGAGAGTATGCTCTGTAGATTTTCCTGATGCCTGGTGTCTACCAGCACAGGGACTCCAGGAGGCAATTTACAGAAGCAAGTCTTGCTATGGAGCGGCAGCTAGAAATGCTGCAGAAAACTGGAGACGTACATCCTAATTTAAGAACAGTCAGGGAAGTAGAAGGATTGACAGTCCAACTGAGAGAGAAGTAGGCAGAAAAAAACATGGCAGACTTGCTAGGCTCAGTGCCTCAACGGTACGCTGACCTCAAGACACAAAAACTGAGAGTTCCTCCATGCTCAGAAATGGGGCCCTTCACCTAAAGCCCAGAAAGAAGAAGAAGAACAAACGAGAGAGCTTTTACCCTTGGCAGCAAAACATCTCCAGTTTCTCTCAAATTTTAATGATGGCTGCTGGGTGAGAAATTCCCTTACCAACTGTGGAGTTCCTGCCAAGCCCTAGCCAGTGCGACCTCCCCCTTCATGGCATCAGGGAAGTGAAACACAAACTTCCCACCTCTCTAAGCACGTCAGGTCTAGCGAGTAAGTCACGTACCTATTTCAGTAAACAAAATTAGGAAGAAAATTTGATTTTGAGGTCTATTCTTTTTTTTTTAAATAAATTTTAAAATTATTTTTTAAATAATAAATCAATTAACAATAATTCAACACGCAGACACACAAGTCAAAAGCAGATACACACAAGCTGCACAACTGACGGCTAAGCGTAGATGGGTGGGGCCTAGACCACAGCTACCCAACAAACTGAGTTTTACTCCATAAGAGTAATAGCTCTTGTAAACCAGAGTCTCCATGTCTGCGGTTCCTCATTAAAGGCACGAGAAACACCTCAGGGACCTTTTCTTTCCACTGCTAGTGAACTCAGCCAGCCCAGTGATGGTCTGCTCTTCCACCACAAGAACATGAACACAAAGCAAACTCCATAAAGTTGAGTATATTTGTTCTCAAACTGATGTTCTTTTTTAAATCTCACAGCACACCCGCACCAGTTTGCGTTTGTCCTCTGGAAAGCAAAGCAGAGAAAGCACACCAAGACCAAGAAAGGGCAGGTCTCATGACCTTGGTTCACCCCTTTTCTCCCACTTCTCCAATCTAGTAGGGACGTCAATCCCAAAAAGCATTGGTAGGATCAAAAGGACAACATGCAAGGCAAAAGAGGTTGGTAGCATCTTAAGGAAAAAGTAGACAAAAAGGAACCCAGGAGAGGGAGAAGGAAGAGTTCTAACTGGCAAAGAGGGATACAGTGCTACAAGGACAAAAAGACCACTTAAAAGCAGCAAAAAATGAAGTCATCTTAGAAAATTGACATTCTGACCACCGACGCTAGGGGCATCTTTGAGGACCGTGTACTTTTTGAGGCAAGGACTATATTTTTTTGTTTGTGTTTGTACCATTTGCCTGGCACCCAGGGCTGCTGAACTGACACAAAGAACTGTGTGGAGGGTGTTTGCTCTAAGCATAGTGAAGTTTACATAAAATGAAAATGGGGGAAAGTGCGTAAAGGAAATTGAAAGGCTTTGTGAAGGGGTAGCCTGCACAGACTCATTTCTACAGCTGTTCTCAGTGGGGAAAGGAATAGAAGAATCAGAATGGTCCAAATGCCAGAAAAGTCCTGCCTGGAAGGAGTTGGCAAAGAAGGGAAACTATATCAAGGAGACCATTAGCAAATGTTTAATGGCAGTAATATTGCCAAGTAGGACTGACAGCCTTCCTGGAGTTTGCAGCCCATCTGTATTTCCACATTGCTGCTTTTATCTGGCCAGAATGTCTCTACTAACTAGAACATGGTTTTGCTTTGTTTTCTAAAGGAAAATAATTGGGGGGGAAACCACAAAAAATGCAGCCGGTGCTTACTCTCCGGATGTACTGTCTCTCATGCTGAAAATATATGGAGGAAAAACAAGAGAACAGAAAGATAAGATAGAGAGGACACAAAAACACAAGAGACCCACAGAAGCAGACCACAGCAGAGCATCATGCAGCAGGATATGGATCTCAGAGCAGCCACAGTCAGAAGCAGCTCTAGCAGCTCTTGTGTAATAGCAAAAGTTACCTATTTAGCCATAGCCACAGATTCAAGTTTTTTGTAGCAGCCTGGTTGGGCCTGTGCATCTGCCCAAACCACCTCACTCCACGTTCCTTTATCTGCCACTTCTCCACTAGTTTGGCCTACCACGGTTTATACTTCATTCTTAATGCCATCGCCTCTATGACTCTCTCTGCTTCAGAGATCACATCTTTTCCTGTCCTTGCTACTATCCTGGTGCTGATTATATACAGCAAGTAAATAAGTCGGCCTCTCATGCTTCTGTCAATTCTGACCATGACCATATCAGCCAAAATTACTGGTTCTAATGTCTTAGGCTGCAGGAAGGTAGGAACGTTGCTGAACATGGAGTGGCTACTGCATTTGCCTACAAAATCATGGTACTGCTGGTATCTACTTTAGAGTGTCTGAAGGGTAGGGGTTCAACTGTGCAAAGGTGGCATCGACTGTGGAAATCTGCACACCACCAGCTTTGTACCGAAAACACTGCCGCTCGTGCTTGCGGAACAAAAATAAGATCAAGGCAGAAGCAAAAGATGATTTGTGTTTCTGTGAGGTCAACAGAAAATAATTCCTCTCTTGGCCCACACCACCCTGAGAGATGCAAAGGGTTTGCACAGTGGCAGCTCTGTCTGTCACCACATCAAGACCAACTCTGCTCGGAAACCGGAAGGCACAGGATGTGGAGATCATCAGAAGAGTGAATGAAAAGACAAAGCTTTTGCTCTCTGTCTCTGGCATCCTTTCCCTCAGGATGTCAGTCCTCCTTTGCCAGTTCTGAGCCATTTCCATCTCCTCTTTTTGGAAATGGTCAGTATGCCCCAGTGCCACTGCAAAGCCCCTTTGCACCTTCCCCCCGACCCAGGTACCCAGCCCATACTCGCCCAGGGACAAGAGAAACTGGAGTACTTACATTATACCAACTCTGGCTTTTCTGTAAGGACAAAATAAAAGAGAAGCATTAGTTAGCACAGAGATCTTAGGATCAAAAAAGAAAGATGGACAGAGAAACTAGGTCCAGTCTGGTTTGTGTAATTAGTGAAGTGAAAGTGGGATTAAACAGAAGATTTCCATGGGTTCCACAGTGTGATCTAACACAGTTATTTCCAGTTACAGGAACAAAGAACAAATCCAGAAGCATGAGTCCATAATAGGAAACAATTCAGGATAACGTGTGCATGTCCCCATGCATGCGCGCACACACACACTCACGCACGCATGCTGTAATCATTTTTGCAGAACAGCAGCACCCGCTAGCAGCGGAGGAGCTAATCACCACCATTGCCAGCCATTTCTTGTACAGGCTTCATTCTTCCATGTCTGCTGGCTAGGCTGCAAAAATCACATTGCATTGAACGGACCCTGTGCAAATAAGCCCTCGAAGAACTACCAGGAGGCAGGGACACATTTTCACTCCCAAAAGCCATCAGGCAAAACTTTCAATAGTATTTTAAATTTTAAAAGGGAGACACATACAGAGCCAGGAAAACTGCTGAAGACATTTAACAGAAAAGCTAAGGGGAAAAAAAAAAATGCTGGGGTGTTTTGTTTTTTGGGTTATTTGGGTTTTTTTAATTACACTGCACAGTGTTTTGCATCATCTGCACGTGTGATTTTTTTTGTCCTTATCATGGCATTTTGGATGGTTTGAGAGGACAGGCGACACATCACACTGGAGCGTACAAAAAAGCGAGCTCAGCTTGGAAAGTCACACTTGGCAATTTTCAGCTGGAGGTGAGATTTATCTGCACAGAGAGAGGAAGAAATAACCTTCACACTCCCACTCCAGCCATCCTGGCTCTCCAATGCCAGAACACTGAGCAGAACTGACAGAAAGTATAGGCATCCCCCATTTCAGGGTAGCTTTTCCTCAGGGCAATGAAGCTTGGGGGCACTGTAGCCTTTCACCAGCAACAGCGGTCAGTTACAGTGCATATTGCCGGGGACCTTTGTGTGTCAGCAGCCACACAGCTGTGCCGGTCCCCCTCTCCCAAACAGCAATGGCATGGCTACATTACGCTTGGAGGAGCTGAGTCTAACGGACAAGGACAGAAGCAATATTTCACTGCATTTCTTTCTTTGAAGTCCTCTTGCTTCTGACCTGGGACTGGGAGTATTTTTCACAGCTTTATGCCCAGTCTGGAACATGAAGGAAAACATACCGTTCTCCGACTTGCAGCAGAGCCTCTGGAAGTTTTGCTCAGAGAGCTAAGTTCATATTCACAGAAACACAGAAACTACCTGCACTGGGATAGCCCACAAGAGGACCAACGACGTACAGGATGTTTACCGTAGGAAAGTGCGAAGTGTTAGTAAGATCAGATCGGACCAGAGATTTCTATGAAGATGTGGGGTTGTTGACACTGTTCGTTCCCTACACCTCCCTGCTTTCAGTTTCCTATGCTCCCTATATGCCCCTCCAGCAGACAACCTTTCTGGCATCTGGATCTCAGGCACAGAGCCAACATTTCTGAAGGATCCCTTGCAGCCTGGGGCATTTCTACCAGTTTCACTGCACTGGTCTCTAACGAAAAACCCCACAGTAACATAAGTATGCCACAGGCCAAAATACAAAAGTTTGACATTAAAAAAGAACAACACCCCTAAGGCCTTTCCCCAAATCCTGGGGAAAGGAAATGAACTGAAGAACTAAATACACAGTATTGCTCATCGACTAACCAGAGGAATTTCCTCTCACTTCCTACACTTTTCCATACTTGGCCGTACCCTCCCATTCTTAAAGGATCTGGTTGAAGTCATCCTTCTCTGCAAGTAGGACATGGAAAAAGGCCTTATGCAATTCAGCCTATACTAAAAAAAAAAAAAAAAAAAAAAAAAAAAAAAAAAGGGGAAAAAAAAAAATCAGGTGAATTAATCTTAATCCATGTACACATCACCTTGGTCTCAGGAGCACAGGGTCTAAGGTGGAGTGATTTTCCTGCAGATTTCTTTTGCCATCTGACTGCCTTAATGAGCAAAAGGCATAACTCTGAAATTTCTGGGGGGGAAAAATTCATAATAAAACTATTGCTCACATAGAAAAAACAGAAACACTACTGTCACTGTGTCTTCTAAAGCAGGGTTCACATGTGGTATCAGCACACTGCAACAGAACTTCATTCCCCTCGGCTGCATTAATTGCAGTAACTCTTCCCCTCATTTGAATTTCCCCAAACTGTGGCTTCTCTGCAAAGGATCTCTGCAGCTCCTCCTTTCTTAAGCTCTTCCACACAATTATACTGACATCCAAGCCTCATCTTTTGCTTCCACCAAGTGTTCTAAACGTGAGGAGATTCCTTCCTCCTCACCCCTATGTTTTGCAGGTAGAACGGACTACCTGCAGTACCTACCAGTAGTCCAGAGAGAAGGAAGACTATCTAAGTCCTTAAATTTATCTTCAATTTTATTTACCTTTTTTTTTTTTTTTTAAACTCACTGAGAGTCAGAATATGGGGAGACGGGAACTGTGAAAATCAAGAGACTGTATAATGGAGGGGAAAAGAAAGAAAAAGGAAAAACATATTCTTACTTTGAGCAGGTTAAGTCTGTCATACTGGAAAAAGAAACCATAATAAGCATTAGAACTGAAAAGAGAAAATAAAGAAGTAACAAAGGAATGGAGTTGCACACAGAAGTGGAAAAGATGTCACCGATTTGCAGAGACGATGCTATAGGAGCAGATACCAGAGTTCATAGTTACATGGTGGCTGTAATCAGAAAGAACTTAGGAGAACTTGAGGAAGGCAAAAAACGGGGTATTTTCCCTGACCCTTTAATTAATATAGTGTTGCCTCTAAATCGTCATGGGTTAATGATCTCATATTTGCATATACTGTTATGGAAGATTACAGCTTTACAGTGCAGATGGGAAGCAGTGGATCACACGTACGAGGTTCGGCCTGCTAACTTGATGCCAACAGAGTTTTCCACCTTTTAGCATTACTGGGAGCAGGATCACAACTCACTCCTACACACTGCTGCTTCCAGGGGAACCGGAACCTTTTGCCAAGTGCGTAATATGCCATAGAGCTCTAGAAGTACCCCTAAGTCCATTTGACAACTGGGGAAACAGAGGCACAGAACTAGGGTGAGGGCAGAGCCTCAGAGGTTCTGATTCCAGAGCCCTTTCTCCTGACCTATGTACTTCCAAAATCTATGTTATTCTCCTGGCTTCTAAAGGCCCAGGGCGAAATAACTCAAAGAAATTGATTAAATTTCTTCCCAAATCCCTCACCCCAGTCCAAAACAACCAGAATTTCATGACCTACTACCTAAAGGGGTATTATACCACCAAATGGGAGGGGTAAATGAGAAGACACAGCCAAACTCTTCTCATAATCGCACATTGAAAGGACAAGATGCAACAGTCATAAGCTGCAGTAAGGTAAATTCTATTCGAATAGAAGGAAAAAGCCTGTTCACAACAAGAGTGGTTAAGCACTGGAGCAGGGGCCTGACGAGGCTGTGGGATCTTCAGTCTTGGATATTTGCAAAATGTGGCTGGCTTTTAGAGTAACCTGATCTACCCACATCAGCCCTGCTTTGAGGAGGGGCTTGGACCAGAGACCTTCTGAGATCCCTTCCAACCTAAACTGTTCTACAATCTCCAGGGCTTACATCAAAATTCATCTTTTCCCCAACCCAATTATTTATCCTCAGCATTTAATATTAACGATAGACGATGGCAAGAATCTGAAGTATCTGCAATAGAGAGATTTGCAATGCAATCACTTTTATCCTTGGGCAAGAGCAAAAGAGTTAAAAAAACATATTTCATTGTTGGCTGCTAGCAAAAAGGGGGGTTTTGCTGAGTTCAGAAAGCTGTTCCAGAAGCCGCAGTATTTGCCACTAGAAGGCTATGGCTGACACAGGCCTATAGGTGGTTTGGTCCCTGCCACACTGGCGGACAGCGTGGAAAAGCAAGCTCCGGAAAAGATTTCCTACAGATGTAATCCAGTGCTTAAATCTCCTGGTGAAGCGCTCCCTCTGATGGCAACACTGCAGCACGACAATTAACACGACAGACAAAAGAGGGCAAGGGACTTCAAGCAGATCTGTCAGCAATTGTATAAACACAGCATCAAACTCATGGGCTCAAGCTGTTTCGTTTCATTTCATTAGCGAGACCGGTTGGAAAAGCAGACCATTCTTCTTGCAGAAGACGGGTGGGGAGAGGAGAAGAGAAGAGGCTGAGAAAGGAGATTTTAAAATCTTTGACCTTAAGTTCTTTGTTCCTAACCTCTCCCTGTCTTGACCAGATACCATCATCATCTGTGTGAGGAGAATCAGGGGCCTTATGACACCTGAGATTCCTCACTTGTACCAGAGAAAGCCACCTTGTGGAGCACAAAAAAAGAGATCCAGCCTTCACACTGCTTTAGGCTCACCCTGTGCACAGACCGTGGGAGAGCCCGGCAGGAGGCTCTGACGCAGGCTGGTGGAGGTCATGCCCACGATTCCCTTCCCTCTGTGCGCCGGCTTCCTAGCACTGGAACTCATCTGAAGTCCATTCCCCTCTTGTTTCTCTAATTGCCTTAAAGTTGTGGGGTTGTTTTCTCTCAGAAAAGCGAGGGGCTGGCTGCAAGCACGTCACAGTACCAATATGCATACATTTTACACATACATCACTCCCTACCGATGTTCTTCCCACCAGTCCTGCTCCTAACAAATCTCTCCAGAGCTTAGGCAAAGCGCCTCCAGCCTACCATAGCCTAGCCACGACCTGCCCTAACCCACATACCTCTACTTGCCAGCAATCCTTTCAGGACTCTCTGCTACTCCAGACCTGCATTTTCCATAGAACTTCTTTCACACCTCACCTGAGACATTAGTCCCATAGTCCTCATTTGTAGTTATGCAAACTACAGTTACCAAGCAAAAGACAATGTCTAAAAAAAGACATGAAGAAGCTTCCAGCAGACACCAGCAATCCTGCCAGGTCAGGCTGGTTATAAATGGCATTATGACCAAGGAAAAACAGGAAGCCAGCACTGTAGACTTCACTGCTTTCTGAGAACTTGCCTAGAATTCAGTCTAAGGCATCAACTGGGGAAAGGCCAAGGCATTGACTTCACAGATTATGAAGCCATCCAAGCCATTCTGGTTTTAACTTTACTCATACACATGTAGAAATGCCAACAGCCCAGCACTTTGTCTAATAAACATCCCATCTGCGTTTCTGATTTTTATACTCGTCTGAGGGTAGCATAGAGATGTGAGATTAAATCTCAAATGAGCTTATCTCCAAGCCAAGCACCCACAGAGGGATTTTCTATGTACTGCCTTTCAGAGTGAGCCCATGAATTCTCACAATTCATTTGGGACAGGTCTGTTCTAACAGGTTTAAGCTGGGTTCATTTGAAATCACTGATCTTTAATATTTACATCACACAGGGAAGCGTGCAAGAGCAGTAAGATCACTGGCCACAAAACTACTATCCATCATAAAAAGCAGGCAAGACGTTATGGAGATCAGTTCTTGTTTCTGAAAGGCATAAAGTAAGAAGAGAGGAAAGAGAAGGAATTACAGTACTGTTCAGCCTACCAAAGCCAGCAGATTTCTCCCTGGCAAAGACAGCAGCTCACTTCCAGGGAGAGGGAAAGCAAACCTTAAAACCTAAAATCAGTTGGAAGTAATTGAAGGAGTGTGATGAACAGGCCAGTTCTCACACCATGTGAGCAAATATTAATGAGATCCCAGTGATAGAAGTGAAACCAGCTTCTCAGCTACAGGCATTGGGCTCAGCTCTTGCTGACATTCTCGCAGCCGCACCAGGAGAATGCCTTACTGGGGTCACCGCTCGTAGCACGGGGAAGGTTTCTGAGTGATGAGACAATTCTACAGTGGGTGACAGGAGAGAAAAAAGAAGGCTTACTTTGGAGAGGCGCTTGTGTGACTTAATCGGAGAGAAAGCATGCAGGAATGAAAAGAGAGAAATTAAAGAAAGAAGAAAAATTACCTCGCAAATCAAGAGAAGGAAAACCCACAAACCCAACAGAAAGCATTATACCCCCCCGCCCCCTTCCTTGTAGAAAGTACCACAAATTAAAGTCAAGCTTCAGTAGTCACCGTATTGGGAAAAATTGCACTCCCATGGCCTTAAATCACAGCACTTTATGGGCTCTCTGTAATTCCCCCTTACCAAGAACGCCATTTCCCTGACAGAGTGTCCCCCGGTGTGGCTATAAACATAGCGTGCCCTGCCTCCCATCTGCATGGCTTTCTTTTGGGGACGGACTGCTGGCACCATAAGGCACGAGGGTGTCGTCTGGTCCTGCCGCCCTGGGGCAGTGTTTGTAGGTTACTGGGTGCATAGGAAGCAAGTCTGACCTCAAGGGCAACCTCAGAACTCACAGGGCTCAAATGATTCATCATGAGAAAACCCTTCAGCCCCTCTTTTGAACTCGCATACTCCCCTCTTAGTGGCGAGAGATCAGTTCAGCCCTGTGAATGTGGGCCAGTGAATCTTGCTTCCTCTGCTGACAGTGACCACAAAGAGATGCGGATGAAGACTTCTTGTGTACGTGACAATGCAGCAATAAATCGGTCAAAGATCTAACAACTCATTTCACACAAGCCATCACAATTATGTCTGTGACACCCTGAAGTTATTCAGGCTGAAATATTTCACTTCAAAAATCTGGAAAAACACAAGTGCTCCTGACAGCTAACTATCTTATAATACACCACTGACATTAGGGTTGTAATCAAAGGTTACGTTTGGCTCCCAAGGCCCTCCTGTGTGTTTCACCAAGTCCCTCTGCTCACAGAAAATCAAGAGTCCCCAAACCTGAAACGCTCGTCCTCAGTACAGCAAAGACAAGGCTGTTTCCACTATGGTCAAAAGACACAATACCTTTCTAGGGAAAATGTCATCTACCCTGGCCAAGACATTCGTAGTACTGCACCGATAGGAGGCAATGTGCAGAGGATTGGCAAACTGGTTTTGTGCAACTTGAACCGACACGGGGCTTAGACAGAACTGGAGAAATGCATGGGCCCTTCACACGCTGTCTGCACAGAGGGACCATTATTTGTTCAAAGGCCCTTCATGATCCAGACGATAAAAAGTATTTGCAACAGCTGATTTTCAAGGTGTTTCTCAAAAACACAGAGCCTCCCAAGGAAACGGTGCCTTGACTGCAAAAAGGTTAGCCTACATAAGCTCCCACAGAACTGCAGTACAAGCCATCAGCAACTCATGGACTCAGGTCGCTGAAAGGATGATAGAGTTGTGCTGAAGTCTGACCTATGCAAATGGCTCCCAGTTAGGAGAATTTTCAGAAGTACGATGGGGGAAGAAGGAGGAAGTTAGCCATAAAAAAAAAAGCACAGGACAAAGACAGTGTACCTCATTAGAGAGTTTAGAACTGTTGATACATGCACATCTTGACCAAAGTCATTTGCTCGCTCCTCACCTTGGAGTTCTTGGCCCCACTGCGGCCTGACTGAGAGGAACAGCTACGCTGTACACCCTGCTCTGGCGTAGAAGGGGATTTGTCTGATGAGTGGTCTGAGCCTTTTTCCACCATGGTGTCTCCTTGGGAGTCCTGCGGTGTTGGGGACCGGGAGCGTTTGCGCAGGATCGGGGAGCAGGCAGGCGTGCTGCGGTTTGAGTTACTGGCAGTACTGCAGAAAAAAAGAAAGAGCAAGGTTAATAATCTTCAGCTCAAACAGAAAGCAACTGTACCCATGCCTTGAAGTGGAGCATTACCCGCAGATTTCTCCACTAGCACAGTGGACAAATCTGGCTTCCTGAAGCAATGCACTCAGTGCCACACTTAGGACTTTCATGCCCAGTAAAATCAGGCTGTAGACAGTTACCATTTACCAGTAGCGGAGGGAACTACAATGGCCTACCAGTGTCTTTCTCCACCGACTCTTTAATTCACCTTACCACAGATTTAATGCCTATGAGAATGAACTCATTCTCTCCTGTTGGCTCTGAGAGTTTAAAACAATGATCTGAGCTTAGAAAACCTAAACCTGAACTTAAAAATGAGGGAGATGTCGGTGTGTTCTCAATACAGTCCCAGTCTGTTCGTCTATTTTATTTCTGCAAACGTAACTATTCTCAACAGGATGCACAAAAGTGGAATCGTATCTTTTAGGAAACACTTCATTAAAGATCATCAAAAACGAAGGGGCACTGGGAGGGGAGTCATGATGACAGACAATGAAGTCGTCATTTCCTGTTTCAAATCATCCTTTCCCATACCAGTTAGAGTTGGGCATGGGGGAAAAAAAAAAAAAAAAAATGAAAAGCTTTCATGATTTAAAAAAAAAGTTCCCCTTTCATAACGAGGAAAGACCTTTCAGAGTTTTACAGAAATTATGAAACATTTAGAGGAATGGAACTTCTCATCCTGTATCTTCAGCAAATACCCTAACACCTAAATCAGAAAGCCAATTACGTACATACTTATATGGAACAGGAAAACTCGTATTTCCTTGCTGTTCCTTCTCTTTTGATGCCTCTTCTTCCTGCCAGACTCTTCAAAATACCACATGCTACCTCCATTTTTCCAAATTCCCTACATAACTCATTTCCTTCAGCAGTTAAATCTATTTATGACCAGCCCAAACATCTTTGAGGTCTTTCCAGTTGGTACTGTTCAACTCTGCAACCTGCAGGTTACAGTGGAACTGGGGCTGACCCAAGGCTTAACTCCATGCTAACTCTGCCATGCTGAGTTGTTACGGTACCCTGTTATCTTCTGAGCATTAGAAAGCAAGCCACATCTGAGCGACAGAAGAATAGGCTATAGAAAAAGGAAAGGGAATTACAACTATAAGGAATTGAATTAAAGAAGCTAGTACAATCAAAGTCTTAAGGGCTATAATTTAAGCCCACTTATATATAGCAAACTGAAGTTTGCTTCTCACAATAGGATGTACAGTGAGGTAGTTAAAATGGATCGTTTCCTTTCCCAAAATCTAGAAAAGTTGAACACATGCCTGAGGTTTCACTGATTCTCAAATAAAAATCATATCCACCTCCTAATTCTGAAGATGTCAAAAACATTTTACAGATGTTCATTACCTACGGGTAGATAATATAACACACTCCTCCGTAGTTACCAGATTTAGTTTGGTTTGGCATAGTACTGGATGAACTGATCTCATAAATTACCCTCTATTTGCTCACTGCTTGTGTTAACACACAAGCAACAACTTCCCTAAACAATTTGCAGGAAGCACACAACAAAGTTGCTTTTGCAAACGCTAACAAACAAATTTCACACTCATACATGCAGTGAGCGTGCAATTGGCAAGAACAGTAGCATGACACTTTCCAGAAAACCCTTAAAAGATATTTCTAAGAATATAACATGTGGAAATCCATACAGATAATGAACATCCTAGAGAAAATGGGTTTGAAAGATGCTCTGCAAGTAGGAGGAAAGATGGATTAAATTACTGACTCTGCTCTGTTACCTATTTTTACTTAATGGACTGAGAATCATATAGATCTAGAATAATAAAAAGTTGCTTGTTCAATTGCCACCTAAACCCCAAGTTAGCTCCAGTGTGAAGACAGGCAGAGTAATTCCCCCCCTTAGCTTGTTTCTCCCACAGTTCACACCTCACGAGTGAAATATGCTAACAGCATACTGTGTCCTCCCCTTCCCTGGGCAAGACACAGGAATGCTGAATACTAACTACATGCACAGCATAACTGTAGCAATATTCAAGCTTTAATCCCTCCAAATCATATTTGAAACAAAACAAAAGACTGAGCAAAACATGATCTGGACCATTCTCCCAGCAGCTTTGCCTGCAGCAGTTCAGATACATCATGTTATCAGGGGTTTTTTAGGTTATTGAAATGTACAGAAGTATCAGGTTTCTTCACAGACTTTCAGCTGATCCAGTTAAAATGGGTATTTCACCTTTTCTGTCCTCCTGCTGCTACTTCTCCTGGCTAAGCTCAAGATGCACACGCTTTTTTAACAACCCGGCATAGTTGCACCTAGCGTACCAATTGCAATCAGCAGCTACATGCATCTGCAGAAGATGCTTGTGCAAATGGGACTAAGACTTGGAGTTCATCGGCAATGCTTCCAGAGACAGAAATGGTTTTGAATTGCCATTCCTACGGTTAAGAACTCTAAATTCTGAAGCTGTATCGCTCCTGCTCATGCTATGTTATTGCTTATCTGGCATAACATCAAACTTCCTACATCTTGCCCCCAGCATGCTTGATTCAACGTAAACTGGTTTATGCGAGAGGTCCCAAGAAATACAAAGCAAGAATTTGAAGTGAACGTTCCTGAGTCCCATATCACCGCACTAAATTTGTTTGAATAGGCATACTCATTTTTCTCCTACAGCTCTACGAAACCTGAGTTTATCACGCACAACCTCCTTCTCATTTTCAGTTCATGTGAGTTCATACTCATAAGTTTCACTTTGAGTTTCGGCTTCAAGCAACCCTTACAAAGACCAAGTCAAATTCAGTCAATGTTCTGCTACGAAGGAGCACTGACTTTTTACTGCTTCTAAAGTAAAGCACAAAATAACCAGCTCAAAACGGGGGTACAGCTGCACCATGTGCATGTGATGAAACCCACTCAAATGTTCGGTTCTCTTTTACTCAAATTGTAATCACATGAGAAATGAGACACATTTTGCCTCTTGTGGACGGCAATAAATACATTAATATTAGCTCCAATATACACACGCTCACACACAGGCATGGAAGATACATTCGCAGTTTTCACACTCCGAGCACCAGCATGCTCCAAAACTGGTTTAACACACCTAGCACAGATACTGCTCAGCAGTGCGCAGCTACGGAGGCCAATTCAAGCTAATCACCCAAGATCTCACAAAGCTCCTCAGGTTAGTTTTTCAGTCACAGCTGAGTAACCCATGCTGCTGCAGCTACATAGGAGCAGCATCAGCACTAACTAGCTTAAAGATGGCATGTGTGTATGTCCAGGCTCAGTTCACAGTACCATAGCCCTATGTTTTAGTGCCAGCTCTGCCAAGCACAACCTCAGGCAGACACTGGCCTCCAAGTTCGTTTTCCAGTCACTTAGTATCTCTCGCAAGCTTTAAAAAACTAAATCCATACATATTGTGTTAGGTATGTATGGATTATCACTTTTGCAGAGATAGGGGGAAAAAAAAAAAAGATAGCTTCAAGGGCGGCGTCTTAAACTCTCCCTACAGTCAGTAGCAGAGAGCTGATCAAACTCAGGAGGTCTGAATCCACCTCATGCTATGACGACTGGGCAACAATGAGTGTTTCTCACATGAAGGACTCCACTGATAGGCACACAACAAAGAACACGAAGAGTCTGTTGTAATTCAGCCTTTCATCTCTACCACAGCGAGGATGGGCACAAAAAACAAGCCCGCAGCTCCGTCCCACATGCCTCCCCCTGCCCTGAGCCCCTCAAAACTCTCGCTGCTCCTGCTCAGTCCCTGAAGTTTGAATCTGACCCAAGGCACAGCCATGACGAACGCTTTCTGCAGTTGCCATAGTGACCAATGCCTGCAATTGAACCAGGAATCAGCGCCTGAAATGCCAAAACGGCTTGACCCACTTTGAAAAAAAAATAATAGTAATAAATAATGCTTTACAGACCTAATTGACCAGTGTGCATTCAGGGCCTCACATGCCCCTGCAGTGTAGCCTTTAGTGGATGCAACAGATTTAAGTCAGGGACAGAACACAAACAAGCCCACCTAGGCAGCAGCCCCTTGGTCCTAGGTGAAACCTCTGCATGGAGTATATGAAAGCACAGAACACAGAGTACGTCTTCTTGCTTTATATTCACGCTGTGCCTAAGAGAAACACCTCGTCTTATGATCGGAGCTGCGGTAAAAATAACATGAGCAAGTGTGATGTGGCTAGGAAGACGCCAAACTTTGTTCAGTCACATGGAGGGCAAGCCTCGATATCTGGAGCAGTGTAGTGAAGAACTGAGCTCTTCTTTGGGTGGTGGGAAAAGAACGAACATTTAGTAATGCACGGACAAGCTACCTGGTCACACCCTACTCTGGACACTCCACAAACCAAAGACACAATGCAAGATGCAAAAAGGCCAGACTTCCTCTTCCAACAGAGTATTCCCTGTAAAGTTTTGGAGCGGCCAATGAACGGAGACTTCAGCAAGCAATAGTTTTTGCGAAAGGCTACAGTCTGTACTCCATAAGCTAAATTTGGGATTCTCACAGCTCTAAAGGAACCCTGAGGACCGTTTGCAATGCTCTAACGGAGAACTCAGCAAGAAACCTGACTTTGTTCGAGGAATGACATTTAAGTAGTCCTGAATTGAGATGAAAGTCTGTCCATCTTACCAGATCTTCTGAAATAATCACTCTGCCTGCCACTACAACACAGCCATCCCCGGGCTTAACGCAAGCACCCTGCAAAGTTCTTTCCCAAAACACACGTGCCCCTATAATAGCCAGCAGCGATCCTCCAGACACAGCAGTTCACAGAAGAGCAGTGTCGCAAGCACCCATGGCTACACCGTACAATAGTGGCTTGTTCTCCTCTCAGGTAGTGATATACACAGATTAAGAAGATGCACAGCAAATCCATTTGAATCTGCCAGTTGCTGGATGTGAATTAGAATTTAACCAGAAGTAATCACTGTGTTATGAA